ATTTGTTGAATAAAGTTGTCAATATCTGGATTGCCACTTGTCCATTTCCCAAACTCTTTTTTAAACCTTAAATATCGTAAAAAATAGTATAAAGCTTTAATATCGGTAGTGTTAAGAGTTACAGTACAAAAGATTTCTGATTCCGTATCAGTTAATATTTGTCGTGGATGATCGTAGATCACCCTAATTCTAACCAATCCGAATTTCAGCAACAATATTTTAAATAAATAGATGACGCCAAGGAAAAACCATACTTCTGGCTTTCAAGTTTATTATTCATTACTCAGCCCTGATCGGAGACAAATATGATACGTAAGTAAAATTAGTACGTGTCATATGTATCGCGGTAAATAATAAATAATAAACTCGAAATCTCGAATCTGATTTTTCTCAAATTCAACATACTTGACTGATTATGTTTTTTAACCTCTCAACGATAACGCCTCCAAAGTAAACAGAGCTTGCATAGAAGTAGCCATATTTTTCTGCAATTTTTTTAAGACTTTCTGCTTTTTTATCCTGATTTTCTTCTTTTAATGCTTTTTTAACTTCTTCACTAAATTCAGGAGTTACAGAAATGTTATCTTTTGAAATGTTTATATATGCTTTCCTCAGCTTTGCATATATTTTATGGCTTTTTTATGATTTTTAATTTGCTAAGTGAGGATTTATAATCAACTCCAAAAAAAACCGAGACCCATGGTAAAATAGATGTTTTGACATTTCCAAACGTAATAAAATTTCGATCGCATAAATCACTAAATTCATTTTTGCATTCAAATGAACTTTCTTCATATCCACCATCTTCTAAAAAACGATATTTTGGTGTATTTTTTATTGTGAATGCGCGGTGTATAGCCTGTTCAACTGAACCATTCTTAATAATAAATCCATATCCGCACTTATTAATCAGTTTAATCAAATCATGCTCATGTTCTTGACAAGTATCTCTAATGATATTTAAAACATTTTTGCCGTCCTCAATTAATAAAATTTCTCCTAGTTTTAAATTACTTTCTTCAGATATAGAAATGCGAGCTTTATCTTGATCTAGAAAACAGCAATTTGGACACATATAGAGATGGCTTTGTTCTATCAAAGTATTTTCAAGCTCTTCCCGGATTTCAGCAAGACTTTTCCCTTTATCTAAAATATGCCTGAGTGGTTTGCTAGGAGTCTTACTATGACCACTATAAATCATGATCTTGCCTCTTTGTAGGGTGGTAATATATAACTCATTGCCATTTACTAAAATGTTTTTTAATTTGTTCTTAATAACTTCGAATTCGCTAACGAATTTTCCGTTCTTCCATCTGAACTTAAAATCTTTCCTACTTTCGTTAACTTCATCATTAACAATTTCAATAAGTATTGTATGAACGTCCTTTAATTTATCTTCAGGGTCTAGCGAGAGAGGTAACTTTTCATCATCAATATGAACCTTAATCTCCTTTAACAAATTCTCAACGTAGATTATGGATTTATCAGATTTACGAAGTTTATTTAATGTATAATCGGACTCATCTTCATGATATATCCGTCTATTATCTTGTTTAAATAGAAGCTTGTCTGCTTTCCAGTTATCTCGTCTTTCTGCTAATTTTTTTCGCACATCCTCAAGTTTCACGTCCGGTTCAAACGATTTGGTAATCATTTCTCCATCAATTTTGAAGTCAAAATCCTTTACTTCATTGTTTTTTCCATTAAAGAATGGAAATATACTCATGTTTGATGATATAATTACAACAAAAGTTAATGAATATGTTTATTGACTTTTACTAAAACGCACTTATGGTGTTTTACACCTATGAATACATTATCTCAAAAAACTGGCAAATAAATCGGTGTGGGGTGTTCTAGTAAAAATGTTCTATGCCCCCAAAAGCCCTTCCCAAACTTTAATTCTAACCCTAAATACTAACCCTAACGTGAAAAATTTTATGATAAAAATTTTATATGTATACGAGACTTAGAAAAATAATAGGTGTAGAACACCATAGGTGCGTTTTATAATGCGTAACTGTTTTTGTAACAGTCGACTTTGTATGACAAACCCAAAATTAATTTTTTGTTTGCTAAATTTCGGGTCACATGCAATTATGGGTTGATGGTAAAGTCAGTCCACGATATCTAACGTGATCGATTCAACTAAGGGTGCTCTCAAGCATCGAATTAATAGG